CCCGCAAAAAAAAGGTAATTAGAGTCAAACTGAGTTGAACGACCAAAGTACAGCTTCTTCGCTCATGGCCTTCTCGTGTCTCTGTTTTTTCTTCCTACAGGGCAGAAGCGGGGTAATCTCGGTTTCGTAGGTAAAATTTGCATTTGCGGTTGTTTCCTCCTATTACTCCGCAAGACGATTTTGACTTCACAGTTTGGACACGAGGAAAAGATTATTCATTTCTCTAACAAGTATTTTCGAACGGAGGTAGTAGTTTTGGTACGTGGAAGATCCGTAGTAACCATACTCATCAACTGCACCATGCCATCATTGTAGGGGGAACTTGCATCAACTGCACCATGCAATCATTGTCTCATTTTGTGAGATGACTGTTCCATGCTTGGCACATGCCTACCTGTAGGGCCTCTAGCATGTTCATGTGAAAACCAGGGCCGCTCAGATCGGATAGCACGACACGGTGCTCTCTTGCGTTCAATATGGCTGTTTAGGAGCAATGAATACGAATATCACGCAGTGGCGTGTAGGAAGAACCGCAAACTTTTATTTTTGAAATAAAACGAAACTTTATTCATTAGAAATAACCAATACATCGTTTGTGAGGATGAGTACAATTTCATTGATAGGCTCCTCAAACCAATCTGAAGTTGAAGAAAATCTAGCTAATCTAGCAAGTTCATGTGCTACTCTATTTGCCTCTCTATTACAATGTTCGAATCTAGTCATAATAAAATCACATGCATAGTGGAAGCAGTCATCGAAAATTGTCGCTGCCGCACCCGTTGACTGTCCTCCATCTTGCATGGTCTCAATCACCTCTAGATTATCTGAGTTGATGATTAGGCGATTGCACCCTGTCCTTTGTGCTAGTGTTAGTCCAAATTTGAGGGCTAAAGCTTCTGCCATCAGAACATCCGCGCAATGGTCAATCTTTCCATTTCCTCCTGCAATAAACCTACCTTTGTCGTCTCGCAAAACTGCCCCCATCGTACCCTTCAGCATGTCATGGTCAAAAGAGGCGTCAACATTTTTTTTTGAAATGAAAAGGTAGATGAGATTCTACCTTATATATTTCAAAACAGGTCAGGGCCTGGGACCAAAGGTCGATTACATGAAGCTTACATTGAGCACCGTAGTGCCATGACTGTAAACAGCCATTTGAAGGAGTGAAGAACGGGGCAAATGAGGAGAAAAGAAGATTACTACAAAGCTAGAACTAACTTAGTTCAGGAGGTACATCTAGCTCGTAATAGCATCCTTGTCGTCCTGCCTGTTAGCCCGGTGCTGCCATGCCTGAAGGAGTTGTGACATATATCTTTTGAGATAGAACGGGGGCCATCTGTTGTTGTTGAAGATCCTATCATTCCTCGCGTGCCAGAGAGTAATCGCAGCCGCAGCGAAAAGAATGTGCACACCTCAACCAAGCCCGCTGAGCTCTGTGCATAAAATGAACGATGTCCATGGAGGTAGAAGCTAGGTCGTTCATATGGAACGCGGTCTAGATAACAGAGGCTGGATAACAGCGCAGAACAATGTGGCTGGCAGACTCGCTAGCAGGGCAAAGGTCGCAGTCCTGGTGTTCGGTGAGTAGAGTCCAATGCTTCCGAACCATGTTATCTTTTGTGTTTAGTCGCCCCCGAAAAGCTAGCCAGAGGAAGACATGGTATCTCAAAGGAATGATCTTGTCCCAAACCCAGGAGCTGAACTCACAAGTCACACCTCTGAAGGTAACAAGTTGATAAACTTGAGAAGTAGTCAATGGCTTATGGTGCATAGCAGAAATTCTGACATCCGAGCCGAGAGCTGCAGCATTTGAAGGAGGCGGGGGCAGAATAGATTGCAGCATCTGCAGTTCCTGGGCAGCAGTGGCAGTCAGGTTGGGGTGTAGTTGAATGCACCAGATGTCATTGCAGAGTTGGGAAGCCACAGTACAAGTGCCATCCTTAGCATACAAGAAGAGAGCGGGCAGCAAGAACCGAAGCCGCCCCGCGGGCAACCAGTGATTATGCCAGAAAGAGATAAGTTTGCCAGGGCCCGTTGAACACCTAGATACTGCCAAAATTGTAGGAATGAAAGGTTTGAAGTTCTTCCATATGGCCGTGTCACGGTTTGAAAACTTGAGAGGGGTAGCTTGTTTACAGTACTGCTGAGCAAACCATTGAAAGCAGGGGTTTTTCGAGGTCTGCAATACTCTAGAAACAAATTTGGTGAGCAAAGCTTGGTTATGAGCAGGGAGGTCCCTGATGCCTAAACCGCCTGCAGATCTTGGGAGAGTGACGAACCGCCAGGCAACGAGGCACTGGCCTCCCTTGACTGTGTTCTTGCCTTGCCAGAAGAAGGCCCTCAACAACTTTTCCAACTTACTAAGGGATTCCTTGGGCCAAAGAAAACATGACATGTAATAACTAGGGATGCCAGCAAGGACTGAATTAACCAGAGTCAAACGACCACCAAAAGACAACCAAAAGACAGGAAGGTGGCTAGCCAACCTGACAATCTCTTGTCCACCCGATGAATGATAGGCAGAAGAAGGCCATGTTTAATCTTGTGCAAAGAGAGCGGCATGCCTAGGTACGTGCAGGGAAAGCTTGAAACAGGGCAGCCAAACATGCCAGCAATCTCCTGTGTGCTGTTTGGGTCGATGCAGATAGGGATCATAGTACTCTTATGGTAGTTGATTTGCAGGCCGGTGAAAAGTGAGAAATCAGACAAAATCTGTTTGACGATGACCGCCTGTTGAGTGTTGCCTTGGAACAAAATAAGTGTATCGTCAGCGTATTGTAGCACCGGGTACAGTCTGTCAGAACCAAGCGGGTGTATCAGGCTGCCGTCCTCAAAACGCAAACAACACAACCTCTGTAGGACATCAGCGACTAAAATGAATAGGTATGGCGACATGGAGTCGCCCTGGCGAAAACCTCTCCTTGCAACGAAAGACTCGCCAAGCCTACCATTAAGCATGATTCTTGAACTAGCCGTGGTCAGGAGCGACGAGATCTAGCTGATCCATTTTGAAGGGAAACCGCGGGCTTGAAGAATGCTGAAGAGACAGGCCCAGCTGACAGTGTCGAACGCCTTTTGGAAATCCAGCTTGAGAACCACCATAGGCAGTTTCCTTTTGTGGGTTGTTTGAACCATGTCAGCAACCATAGCAAAGTTCTCAATTATGGAACGACCCTTGAGGAAGCCAGATTGTAGAGGGTGAACCAGGGAAGGGATTTGCAGCTGTAGTCTGTGAGCAAGGACCTTGCTAGCCAGCTTGGGGACACTATGAACAATCGAAATTGGCCTGAAATCGCGCAGCTCCAGAGGTGAGTCCTTCTTGGGTAGGAGTGAAATATGAGCTTGATTGATGCCAGAGAGATCCACCTGGTTGTGGTATAACTGTTCGTAAAAAAGCTGTAAGTCCTCCTTAAGCACATTATGAAAAGCCTTGTAGAACTCATTCGTGAAACCATCCGGGCCGGGGCTGCGATTGTTGGGCGAGGCGTCAACATTGAGTTTCACGAAACCCCTAGGGGGACAATGCCAACCCCTTTTTCATGGACGCCTTCGAAGATGATGCATTTACAAAATTGTATGTAAGGGCTAGGATCCCCATTGATATCTGAGTTGCATTCTGAGTTGTTTCCTTGTGCACTAATTTCTTTCTCTCCCACCATAGATACCAAGCTGAAATAGCTATCATTTCTCGTACATTTTGATACCCCATAATACGCAAATCTTGATCTGGAAGAACTAAAAGGTATTCCAATATCGCCTCTCCAGCACGATCAACCTCACAAGCTCTAACAATAATCTCATCTATTCCTAGCCAGAAGAAACGCAAACTTTGTTCTACGGCGTTCCCACTTACTGTACGCGCGCCAATTTGGACAGGGGACGCATTCAGTGATGCAGATGCAGAGCCCATCCGACCGTCCCTGGCATAGGACGACATGCACACGCACGCACAGATGGCTCGACCGATGCAGCAGGATTGCTTGTTTTCACACGCTGATCGACGCTCTGGAATGGAACACCGTGTAGCGTGCAATTGTACATGCGTGTGGGGTGCCTGCTCGCCTGCTCACGACGTGGTACGAGCGGCCATCACCATGCGTCCGCTGCGCACGAGTGGTCACCATGAACGCATGCAGAGCGGACGTCACCACGGAGTACTTTCGCTGCATGCCAGCACGTGTGGCCCAGCCTCGTGCAGTCCGTCCGCGCGAGCGCATACACACGGAAGCGGTCGAAACAGAGCAGCCGCATGCGCGCTGCTCACGTCTCTTCGTCGTCTTCGAACGTATCGACGCTACTGCCACGCCAGCAGAGATCAGATCACCGTGCACCGGCCGGCCATGCCCACCCGTCCCAGCGGCCCACGACGGCTCGCCAGGGGCGCGACACGCGACGGCATGGCGCGCATGTCGGCATCGAACGGGACAGCGGCTTTGCGCGGCGGACGTGCACAAGACAGAGAGAGCTTCGCGAGACGTCTCCATCGCCACGGACGCACGCACATTCGGCTGGCGCCTTCGACCCGTCCCAAGCGGAAAATGACGAGGCGGTGGCGTGCGCGCCGTGCTCTGCCGCCATGGTGCGGACGGAACGGCGGCATGCAGAAACCCGCGCAAACAGCCAAAACTGTTGGCAAAGGACGGCTCAGAGACGGTGGCGCGGTGACGCCGGCTACAGGGCACACGCGCCGCGCCCGCGCGTATCTCTTCTACAGGATACATCTATGCAGATTGAAACGTCGCACAAATCAATCGAGAAACCGATCACCATTGCCGAACCAGAAAGAACTGTGGATGTGGAACCCCATTTCCAAGGCTCGGGGGGAATGGGATTGGGATCAGCTAACACATTCTATTCACAACTTTATTATGTATAATCACGGGCGAGACCCGAAGGGGCCGGGACGACTCAGGGTTACAGGATCACCAACCAACGAGATCCATGGATCATCACAACAGGCACGGAAAGAAAACAACCTAGCCGCGCGCCGGCCGGCGATCTCACCTCACGCCCTCCCGGCGATCGCCTCGGGCGCTGGCGCCGGCGGAAGCGCGCGACTTGCGGTGGCGCAGCGCCTTGATCGGGCCGGGGAGGAACCGCCCCCACCCTCCCGTTTTGGGCGCCAACTTCTCCGCGGAGGCGGAGCTCGACCGCTCCAATGCCGCCGCGTCCTCGGCGGCGTGGCGCTCCTCCTCGCTCTCCAACTCCATTCCCTTGCCGACCGCAGGCTTCCGGAACGAGGCCCAGCCCCAGACCCTGGACCGGCGCCTCTCGTCGGCGCCGATGCCGCCGGCCACGGACCGCGAGCGCCCGATCCGGCGCTCCCGCTCGATGAGGCTGCAGACCCGGCCGACGGAGGCGGAGGACGCTGAGGAGGACGGGGAGGAGGGGGAGGCGCAGGCGCAGGGGCGCGTGCGCGCGCAGTCGGGGCAGAGGCGGAGGAGGCGGTCGCAGAGGCAGTGCGGGCACACGCCGCCGCAGGGCACGGGCGGGTGCTTCCGGCAGCGCGAGTCGTCGCCGGGCATGCCCATGTGTGCGCCGATGGACCGATCCCTCCGCGCCGTCCGTCCGTCCGTTGGGCTGCGATGGATCCCGCTGGCGCTCGCGGTTTCGGAGGGAGAGGGAGTTTTTTTAGGGGGTGGAGGGAGTTGCGGCGTTCGTTCGTTGGCTCGGCTCTAGGGACGCGGGGAAGCAGAGGGTCCGTCTCTCTTATAAGCGGGGCCGGGGCCGGGCCCAGGGCCCACGGACTTCCTCCGGTGAACGGCGTTTTGGTGCGGTTCTTGGAGATCCAAGGGGCACCGCACCGGTTTTCGGTGTGTTCTCCATCTTGCCAACAACCATGGCTTGAGGAGATCAAGACGATGCTCCGTTCGTTTGAAGATTTCAGAGTTTCTTGGGTTAGGCGTTCAGCAAATGTTGCCGCGCATAAATTAGCAAAAATAGGTGTAGGTGAAGAACTTTGTAGGATTTGGGTTGGCACACCTCCAGATTGTATTCTGGATGTAATTGCGGACGAGATCCCAAACTTCGTTTTAAGGTAATAAAGCGGCGACATTTACCTCAAAAAAAAAGACAACCATCGCAGGGGGATAAGATGATGCGCTGGACGCTATATGCTCGTACTGTCGTGCTATGTAAAATGGTGATCAGATTTTTTTTTTTGAGATTCAATGCAATTTGCATTAAACAGTGAGCGAAGCAAAATCGCTCGCCACTAAAACTGATACACATGGGTCAGACCCATCAGTTACACTGTTTGGCACCCCGGCCATCAGCGAGCCCTTCGTCGCGAGGGTGTGCGCTACTTGATTACAGGTTCTAGAGCAGTGCACAATCTTGCACTCAATAAAATTACACACGATGAACGTTTTTAAGCGGTCAGCTACAACACCTAGGCAAGAGAGATCAACACTAGTATCATCCAACGCTTCCTTCAGCAGCAGAGCATCAGTTTCCAAGAAAACTCTGCCCATTCCCAAGTCTGACGCCAAGTGAAGAGCAGCTTCATCAGCTAGCATCTCAGAATGTAGCGGGTTCAGCAAGTTTGGCAGGAAGCCAACAGCACACGCCATCGCCTCACCCACATGATCCCTGAACACAGCCCCCCAGCCTCCATTGCAGTCGTTTGGTTTGAAAGAGTCATCAATGTTAATTTTAATCCACTCAGCCGGCGGTGGATTCCATCGCTGCTGCGGAGTCAGCCCATAATTCGTTGGTTCCAGCTAGATGTCTCGAAACTCGTTCGTCTGATGCTCAATAATCCAAGCAAGCTCTTCGATTCGTCTTCCTTTTCCTCCTTCTCTGCGGTTATTGCGCTCACACCACCAGTTCCACATGAGAGTGGCAATAATGGCTTGCTTCTCCCCAGCAAAAGTTGTCAATTTATCCATCATTGTTAAAGCTGTGCTCTGATCCATAAGCAGCAGTCTCTCCTTCTCCAGCCCGCACAGCCTCCAGATCTCCTTAACTTGTTTGCATTTGAAAAGCAGATGGCCCCCGTCCTCCCCATTGGCTTGACAAACAGGGCACCGCATGGAGATATCCAGTCCTCTTCTTTGCAGGTTCATGCAAACAGCCATCGAGTTGTGAGCCAACCTCCACATAAAATGTTTTATTTTACCTCGGACCGTCATCCGCCAGATCTTCTTCCAAGGGGACACTTTGTTCGCTTCCTCAGCCCCCGAAGCAACACCTCTCCGCCCCTCCATGTTTTTATCATGCATATGCACCCAATATGCAGATTTAACAGAAAACTTGCCCCTTCTTTCAAAGTGCCAGGCCGGCAGATCTTCCAGCTCCCAATTTGTGGGGATTGCCAATATCCAGGAGGTATCTTCTTCATTGAAAGTGGCCCGAACCAGTTCTTCATCCCATGACCCAGCAGCCGGGTTGATAAGCTCTCCGACCTTTGACATAATGTTTGTGCCCCTTGGTGTAGACGGTCGCCTAGTTGTTCCCCTAGGTATCCATGGGTCCTTCCACATATTGATTGACTGTCCATCGCCAACTCGCCAGATGAGCCCCTTCTTCAGGATTTTGATTCCTTGCAAAATACTCCTCCAGGTGTAGGACATATTGTTCGTTTCCTCCACACTCAGCAGATTCCCATCGGGGAAATATTTAGCCCCCAAGACCCGTGCGCATAAAGACTCTGGCCGTTGCAGCATTCTCCATCCTTGTCTCGCAAGCATAGCCATGTTGAAGCTGTGGATGTCGCGGAACCCCAGGCTCCCCTCACTCTTTGGCTTTACCATCTTCTCCCAACTCAGCCAATGAATCTTATTGGATTTATCCTGCTGGCTCCACCAGTATTTACACACCAAGGTGCTGATTTCCTCACAGATGGTCTTCGTCAAGTCAAAACATGACATAGTAAACGTGGGTATCGCCTGCGCCACAGCCTTAATCAGGAGTTCTTTTCCCATCCGAGAGAGCAGCTTCTCCTGCCATCCACTAATTTTTTGCAGAATCCTCTCAACTATGTGCCTGAAACTCTTGGTTCTTGATTTGCCCACATGAATTGGCATTCCCAGGTATTTTTCATTCAGTGCCTCCTTCTCAATCCCCAGAATGCACATCACATCCTTCTTATCCTTTGCCTGCACATTGGCACTAAAGAAAGCGACAGATTTATCTTTGTTTATGGTTTGGCCCGAGCTTGCCTCATAAACCTGCAGAATACGTTGGATCTGCTCCACACTCTCTTTATTTGCCTTGAAAAGGATGAGGGAATCATCTGCAAACAGCAGATGGGAAATGCTAGGGGCATTCGGGCACACCTTAATCCCCTGGATCAAGTTGTTCTGCTCAGCTTTTGTTAGTAGACACGAAAAAGCTTCCGCGCACAACAAAAAGAGATAAGGGGACAACGGGTCCCCCTGTCTCAGCCCCCTCTCCAGTAACACTTCCTCGGTGAGATCACCATTAATCTTGATGCGATACTTTACTGTCCTCACACACTTCATAATCAGCTCCACAAACCTCTGGTGGAAACCCATTTTGACCATCATAGCTTCCAAGAAATGCCATTCAACCCGGTCATATGCCTTGCTCATATCCAATTTCACCGCAGCATAGGCCTTCCCACTTCTTTTGTTGCGCATATAGTGGATGACCTCATAAGCGAGCAGTACATTGTCAATTAGGAGCCTACCTGGCACAAAGGCACTCTGAGTCGGAGAGATGATCTCAGGCAATATCACTTTCAACCTTTTTGAGAGAATCTTTGATATGATCTTATAGACCACATTACAAAGACTTATTGGTCTCAGATTCTTGATACAGTCCGGGTTCTTCACCTTGGGGATCAGCGTGATGGACGTGTTGTTCCAGTCAGTTGGCATAGGCCCCCCATTTAAAAAAGCTAGCACTTCCTGTGTGATTTTGTCACCCACATCCACCCAGTAGTGCTTGTAAAAAATGGCTGGCATACCATCCTCCCCAGGCGCCTTTAAATACCTAATGTCCCTCAGGGCCGCCTTGACCTCCTCAGCACTAAACTCTGCCATTAGGCCCGAGTTCATGTCCCTCGTTACCCTGCTCTCCACTGAATTCAGAACCTCATCATGATGTGTTATGCCCTCTGACCTGAACAGCTGCGCAAAATATTTAGTGATAACCTCCTTCTTTTCCTCCTCCTTCACCGCTCAGCTCCCATCTTCACGCCTCAGCTTCCCTATCCTATTAGTTCTCCTTCGCTCTTTAACACTCGCATGAAAAAACGAGGTGTTTCTGTCCCCCTTCCTCAACCAGGTCATGTGTGCACGCTGCTCATAGTAGGTGTTCAGTTGCTCCTCTAGCCTCTCCACTCTATACCGTGCCACTTCCTCCCCTGCCACCTTCTCCTTACTCACCGGCATACGTCTTCATCTCTCCACTTCTTTCCTTGCTTTCTTCAGCCTTTTCTCCAGTCCACCCAAAACGTTTCCACTCCAAGTCTGAAGCTTCCCCGCCACCTGCTTCAGTCCCTCCCTCACACACCGACCACCCTCTGCCATTGTGTGACACCATGCCTCCTTCACTAGTTGATCACACTGCTGCTCCTCCAGCCAACACGCCTCAAACTTAAACTTGTGACTCCCACCTCCTCTCCCTACCTCTCTTGTTGCTCCCTCCCCCTCAGTTTTCTCTGTTGTGATGGCAATGGGTCTATGGTCCGAGTGTCTAGGATCACCATTCACTACCTTGAAGCCCTCAAACTGCTTCCTCCATCCCTCATTTGTGACCGCCCTATCCAATCTTTGCTAGATGTAGTTCTCCCATCGGTGGTTGTTATTCCGCCAGGTAAATTTGTCCCCCTCAAACCCCAGGTCCTCTAAACCACATACCTCCAAGGCCTCCCTGAATCTGCCCATGAATGCCTGGGTTTTTTCATTCCTGCCCTCCTTCTCGTTAGCAAACAACACCTCGTTGAAGTCTCCCGCGCACAGCCAAGGGAGTGAGACTTGGTTATGAAGGATCCTCATCAGCTTCCATGTGAGATGCTTCTTCTCCGCCCTCGGCTCCCCATACATGCCTGTGAACCTCCATTTGAAACCGTCCTCTTCCTTGATCTCCAGGTCCATATGGAACCTAGAGAAATTTCGCAACTCCACATTTAATCCTCTTCTCCAGAAAGCTGCCACCCCACCTCCTTTGCCCTCACTATCTCGTGACACCATGCATGGCAGCCCGAGAAACCACTTAAATCTCTCCATTTTCTTCGCCTTGAGCTTTGTTTCAGATAAGAACAAAATTTCTGGGTGCTCGGACCTCTGGACGTCCAGAAGTCCATGAGTCCATGAACTGTCGGGGCGTTTCCCAACCCCCGACAGTTCCACGCCACGATCTTCATTGGCTCTTGCAGGGCTGTGACTGCAGCCCCGCTTCTGTTGGTAGTTCACTGGCCGTTTCCACATTGATCTCCAACCCCCTCTTCCTTTTCGCCTGTATCTCCTCCTCCAGTTCAGTCTCGATCTCCATTGCTGTTGGGTCTCGTTTTGTGCCCACCTAACTCTGCACTCCCTGTTGGGAAACGTTGCAGAAAATTATA